CCTCCACATTTAGAAACACGCGTTTAGCGTATTTGGCTGCTATTCATGTCCACGTGATAAGCCACTTCGCTGAGCTGTCACGTGTGCTCAGGTCGCTTATGAAAAAGAGCTGTATAGCTCAGTGGGTCTTACCTGGTAAAATAAACATGTATTTTTATTTTATATGTGCGTGGTTGGCGCACTGCGATATGATCCACGCCACCAGAGTTCGACTCCCGGTTATGACCAATAAGAGTGGCTAATATTTGAGCTGGTCCTGGGCCTCCCATTGGTCGACTTAAACAGCCCCTCGCATGCTGTGCCAACCTTCATAGGTGCTCGCTAACAGCACTTGTCCCAACAGCACATCACAGGCTGTGCGGGGAATCGTTGTCTATGAGTATGCGTGGGTGTGGTGGGAGGCAGTCGCCCTCCAACAACAACGGAGACGGAGGACAGAGGAGTGACGCTCACAACAACGAGCGGAGCGCCGGGTGGCTAAACCGCAGCAAGTTGGCACAGTAGGGGGCACAGGTGGAGCATCGTCTCAGTCAACAACTCGTGACACCTGGATATGTGCCGTGACCTCCTGCGGGCGAGCTTTCCACACTTCACGTGATCGCCTCGAGGTGCACCTAGCCTGGCACAAAGCGCCGGGGTGACGTCACCGCCACCTGCGAAAGGCGGTTGTTGTATGTCACATATATACATACACACGTGAACATGTGTTTAGCGCGTGTCTGCGCATGCGTGTGTGTGTGTCTGTCGCTTGCGAGTCGCTCATCGCTCCGTGCGTTTTGACGCATTGACTATGCAAGCTCACGAATCACTCACGCATCACCCACGCATCACCCACGCATCACCCACGCATCACACACGCATCACCCACTCATCACCCACGCATCACCCACGCATCACCCACGAATCACTCACGCATCACCCACGCATCACCCACGCATCACACACGCATCACCCACGCACGGCTGTGATCCAGCGCTGTCGAGGCAGCAGCGAGGGTTGGTGGATCACTGGACACACACACACGCACACACACACGCACGCACACACACACACACGCGCACACACGCACGCACACACACACACGCACACACACACGCACATACACACGCACACACACACGCGCACACACACACGCGCACACACACGCACACACACACGCACAGACGCACACACACGCACACACACACGCACACACACACACGCACACGCACACACACGCGCACACACACGCACACACACACACACGCACATACACACGCACACACACACGCACATACACACGCACATACACACGCACACACACACGCGCACACACACGCGCGCACACACACGCACACACACACACGCACAGACGCACGCACGCACACACACAGATGTTGTGAAAGGCCCTTCTCCGTGGGCGTCCGTACCCTGGCTCGCCAGGAGGTGCCGGCGGTCCAGCAAACCTGTGGACTCCCATCCGTGCCACCTGTATGGGATCGAGCAGTGGTTCTTCTTCACCTCGGGTGATACGCAGCCCCTGGGGTTGCGAGAAGATTCCCTTTCGGGGGGGGGGGGGGTGGTGCGAGGCACGGGCAAATTTTTTTAGGTAATTCATGGAAACACAAATTAAGCACGGGGCACGTATGTTACACTTTGTTTCATCAAACCCGATGTATTTATTAAAATAGTAAAAAAATAAAATTACGATTTGGAACCAAAGGCGTGCAGGGCTGCGTTTAGCAAAATGTTAATAATCACGAGGACCGAGAGTTGCGCTCCCTCCTCGCACGCGTGGCTTTTTCTCCAGGTGCTCTGATCTCCACCCACGTGTAAATATTCCTGAGTTCGCCGACAACACCCTCACGTATAGAGGACCGCAGAGCTCGGGAAATGGTTGGTAGCGCCGGCTCATCGCGTGTCTCGCCCGCGTCCTTCCGTGTCTGCGGACTCCTCCTCGTGTCCCTGAGTTATTCTGTCAATCTGCAGCGGCGCGTTACACGTAGGGAATTATTATGTATTATTTATGATTAGCATTCGCGAGAAAATACAACTGTGTTATTCTGGGGGCGGGGGGGGGGGGTCGCTGCATCCAATGCCTTGAACGGAATCTGCTGTGAGTCAAGCGCGCGGGTGATGGGGTGAGCTGGGGGAGAAGTTAACACCGACAGAGCCGAGCTTAGCGACACAGCAGGGGTGTAGAAGGATGAGGAGGGAGATGAGGAGGAGGAGGAGGGGGGGCTGGAACGTGGCCAGGTACTTGATGTATTGCGCCGCGGGAGCCGATGACGGCACGGGAATTTGGGGCGAAATCGCGTGAAGATGTTGGTGAGGTCAGAATCAGGCGCCTTGACCTGTGTGTGTGTCAGTGAGAGTGTGTGTGTGTGTCAGTGAGAGTGTGTGTGTGTGTGTCAGTGAGAGTGTGTGTGTGTGTGTCAGGGAGTGTGTGTGTGTGTGTGTCAGTAACGAGTGTGTGTGTGTGTCAGTGAGAGTGTGTGTGTGTGTGTCAGTGAGAGTGTGTGTGTGTCAGTGGGTGTGGGGAGCGGTAGTGTAGCGGTTAGCGATACGCTGCTCTACGAACCTAGCGACCCGGGTTCGATTCCCGCTCACGGCCAACACCAGTGACGATTATCTGAACCCGGTCATGGGCCTCCCCTAGGTCGACTCAGCCTCTAATGAGTACCTGGTGCGGTGTGTAAACATTGTTAATGTGGAGACAAAGGCGGTCGGGCGTGCTGCTGGCCACCCACTTCCTCGTGTGCCATGCGGGCATTCATAGCTGCTCGCTCATAGCGCGTGCTCCTTAAGTCTGTTCAAGCTATACGTGCGGTGTTTGTCCTCGTTGTCATCAATGCGCGTATCACCAGGGTGTGCCACAGTCCACACACCATTTCAATATTCATTCTCACGCCATGTCGCGTTGAAACAAGCCAGTAAGTATAAATGTGTCGTAACCCTCCACCACCCGACACAGCCAATTATTAAGGGATTTGTCACGTAAACAGAACGGCAAATAGTTACTACTTCAGCCAACCGGTGTGTTGGAGAGTAAATCCACAACATTCACAAATCCCTAACTAATTGGCTGTGTCGGGTGGTGGATGGTTACGACACATTTATACTTACGCTAACTAACCCAAAAATCTTTATGAACCAGTAAAGTGTTGCTATTGTTACACGAGTTTACCCATTCAGTACCATGACTCTTTATATGTTTGTACGTGCTGTATGTTGAACTTCTTTCATACCGTACGTAGTCAACCGTGCTAATGGAAGGTGCGAGAGTCCTGCCAGGTTTATGCAGTAGGGGCGATGCATATCATTGAATAATTTGCGGGTATTATTTCAAACGTGGAACATTTGTGCCATGACACCGGCACACGTAGTGTCCTTACTCTTGAAAGGTATGTCACGGGATCTTTCATGTCCACTGTTAAGCAGACGGCGCGTAGTATTATTATAATGGTAAATACAACCGCTGTGTTAATCAGGGCGGCCGCTGCAATCGAACCGTGAACCTCTGTAACAAGCGGAGAATGAGGATAGGTTTTCTCCTTTTTTCTGGCAATAAAACAGATGTTAAACACCAAACTAAAACCTTTTACAAGGAATCATGTCTGCATTAACCGTACGCCTTTCGGCGTCCTCTGGTCTAACACAGTTTGAGACGAGGCTCAAAAGAAAGCTGTCTCTGGTGTGGACCAATCAGTTTCAAGGACAATGCATATATTATCAGAGTATGTTTTTTGTTTGCATTCTGACTATTGTAATGTGGTTAATGCAGACATGATTCCTTGTAAAAGGTTTCAGTTTGGTGTTTTAACATCTTAACACCTGTTGTGTTATTCTTGGTTCTTTCGGTAAAGTCACGTAGAAGGAAAATAATAATCTGGCCAACTGCCAAATCGCTGTCCGTGGTGCTGACGTTAGAAAAACCGCCACTTTTTTCAAATTTTCTTTCTGTGGATTTCACACCTGATGATGATTGCTTGTGTTGCAGTCGAAACTTCGTGAGAATTTTTTATTATTTTTATTATTTTATTATTTCCCTTCTACGTGACTTTACCAAAAAACCAAGAATATGAATTCCCTGCAGTCACGAAAGCTTTCAATCAAAAACCTGTTTTGTTGCCAGAAAAAAAGAGGAAAACCTATTCTCATATTTCGGTCCTGGCAAAGGAGGTGCCATGATGAAACGAAGCAGGCTCTGCCGCTGTGTCAACGTCATCTCGCCCGATTTCTTCCACACTCGTGAACTTGATGCGGTGCCAATTCGGATTGCGAACAGGAACAATACCGACGATTGTTTACGCAGGAACGCCGTGCCGAGTCTTAACAACATTTGTGTTGACATCGTCCACTGGAATATTTCGCATTTCCATGAGCGAGCATTTTATTTGAGCGTCCGTGTGGGAGGAGACCGGAGGAACCCCGCAGCACTCACGCGAGGTGGTCACCTCAGCACCGCCATCCCCCTGCCACGCACCACACACCGCTTGTTGTTGTTGTTGTTGTGTTCGTGTGTTGTTGTCCTTCCCCCCGCACATCCGATTAGCACGGTTGGCTATGTACGGTGCGACAGAAATTCTACGTGCGCCGCGCAGCTCCACGCCTACACCAGCCGCCGGCAAGCAGCGGCGGCGGCGGTGGCGGCGGAGACCAATCCAACCACTGCCTCCCAATCAGCGCGCTCTCCAGTCCGATCCGATGCAGTGCCACTCCCTCTCCTCCATCCACCAACTCTCTTCTCGCCCGCTCTCCCTCCGTTGCCTTCGCTTCAATCCCTTGCTCCGCTCCCCCCCTCTCCAACCCCGTGCTCATCTCCCTCCCCCCTCCCCCCCCGTTTGGCCTCCATCCCCTCTTTCCGTCCCCGTATCGCTCCCCTCCCTCCCCCTCATAGCCTCCCTCCCACCCCTGCCCACCCCTCGGCCTCCCTCCCCTTCCTCCTTCCGCTGCTCCCTCCCCCTGCTGCTCCGCTCCCCCGCCCTCTCCCGCGCTGGGTAAAGGGTTAAACCGTCGATTTGCCCGCCTCTCCCGTCGCTCTGCGCGCATCGCTCCCTCTGCGCTCTCGCGGCATCCAAGCGGCGTGGCGGCGCTGCGCGCTGGAAGCGGGACTCCCCGCGTGTCGTCCTCTCCGCAAATTACATTTTGTGTGCCGGTTGTAGTCTTTGTTTTTGTATTACTGGCGGGTTGGAGGAGGAGGTGAGACGAGGTTGGGGGAGGGGAGTAAAGCGCTGCGTTGCTTTTTTTTAGTTTTCTTTAGGCGCGGGCGAAAGCGGAGGTCGCGGGGAGACGCGGAGAGACGTGGAGTGGTGGTCAAATCGACTCCGTCGACACAGAGCGAGACGAGCAGAGAGACAGGCGGACGGGGAGATAGGCGGATGGGCGGATAGGCGGCTCACGGACACTTGTAGGCACACAGGGAGCTAGGACAAGAATACAGACAGGACAGATAGGTAGGACAAGCGAATTGACATTCCGACGGATGAATGGAAGAAGAGACGGACAGACAATAACAATTTGACACAATACGACGTTGACAATTTGTAACATCGTCAATGCATCGATACACGTGCATACGACGGACACACGCTGTGAGTGTACATACCTAAGCGTTTGCCAACTGGACACACAGCCAGATGTACGCACACACACACGGACAACACTCGCAATTCGGACGATGCACGTGCGCATCGGAGGACTCGACAGGTAATCTAGCGCTTTGACAGATGGACAGACGCCAGACACGCGAGACACTTCAAACCGGAGCAAGGCCACACACGCGAGGTGCAAACGAATATTAATTAGTTCAGCCCATAAAGAAGAGGACGCTTTCGTCTGGTCGCGGGGACAGGGCAATTCGCAGCACACCTGCTCCTTCACACCGTACGTGCATACGCACATACACACACACACGCACACACACACGCACACACACACGCACACACGCACACACACGCGCACACGCGGGGGTGGGCATCGGTCCTACCAGCTGCCTCTCGACAACTTGAGCGTGAGACGACGAGCAGAGACGATAACGATCCAAGGGGGAGGAGGAGGAGGAGGCGGGAGGAGGACCAACGACCCCCTCCCAGAGACCCCGATGCCAGCTCTACCCCAGCAGCAGCAGCAGCAGCGGGGCAGCCAAGGCCCCCCACTCCTCTCGTCGGGCGTGGCCAAGGGGGAACGCAGTGGGGCACGGGGGGCCCCCAACTCGCGTTTCGCCTCGGGGCCCGTGGAGGTGAGACAGAGAGAGGGGAGTGAGAGGGTGAGTGTGAGAGATAGTGAGTGTGTGAGTGAGAGTGTGTGTGTGAGAGAGATATTGAGTGTGTGAGAGAGATATTGAGTGAGTGAGAGATTTTGAGTGTGTGAGATATATTGCGTGTGTGAGAGATATTGGGTGTGAGTGTGTGTGAGAGATATTGAGTGAGTGTGTGAGAAATATTGAGTGTGTGTGAGAGATATTGTGTGTGTGAGAGAGATATTGAGTGTGAGTATGTGTGAGAAATATTGAGTGTGAGTGTGTGAGAGAGATATTGAGTGAGTGTGTGTGTGAGATATTGAGTGTGTGTGTGAGAGATATTGAGTGAGTGAGTGTGTGAGAGATATTGAGTGAGTATGAGAGAGATATTGAGTGTGTGTGTGTGAGAGATATTGAGTGAGTATGAGAGAGATATTGAGTGTGTGTGTGAGATATTGAGTGTGAGTGTGTGTGAGAGATATTGAGTGTGTGTGTGTGAGATATTGAGTGAGTGTGTGTGTGAGATATTGAGTGTGTGTGTGAGATATTGAGTGTGTGTGTGAGAGATATTGAGTGAGTGAGTGTGAGAGATATTGAGTGAGTATGAGAGATATATTGAGTGTGTGTGTGAGAGATATTGAGTGAGTATGAGAGAGATATTGAGTGTGTGTGTGTGTGAGATATTGAGTGTGAGTGTGTGTGTGAGAGATATTGAGTGTGTGTGTGTATGTGAGATATTGAGTGAGAGTGTGTGTGAGATATTGAGTGTGAGTGTGTGAGATATTGAGTAAGTGAGTGTGTGAGAGATATTGAGTGTATGTGTGTGTGTGAGTGTGTGAGATATTGAGTGAGTGTGTGTGTGATATATTGAGTGTGTGTGTGAGAGATATTTTGTGAGTGTGTGTGAGAGATATTGAGTGTGTGCGTGTGTGTGTGAGAGATATTGAGTGTGTGTGTGAGAGATATATTGTGTGAGTATGTGTGAGAGATATTGAGTGAGTGTGTGTGTGATATATTGAGTGTGTGTGTGAGAGATATTGTGTGAGTTTGTGTGAGAGATATTGAGTGTGTGCGTGTGTGTGTGAGAGATATTGAGTGTGTGTGTGTGAGAGATATATTGTGTGAGTGTGTGTGAGATATTGAGTGAGTGTGTGTGTGAGAGATATTGAGTGAGTGTGTGTGAGAGATATAGTGTGAGTGTGTGTGTGTGAGAGATATTGAGTGTGTGTGAGAGATATTGAGTGTGTGTGAGATATTGAGTGAGTGTGTGCGTGAGAGATATTGAGTGAGTGAGTGTGTGAGAGAGATATTGAGTGAGAGTGTGTGTGAGAGATATTGAGTGTGAGTTTGTGTGTGAGATATTGAGTGTGAGTGTGTGAGAGATATTGAGTGTGAGTGTGTGTGAGAGAGATATTGAGTGTGTGTGTGAGATAGTGAGTGAGTGTGTGTGGGAGATATCGAGTGAGTGTGTGTGTGAGATATTGAATGTGAGTATGTGAGAGATATTGAGTGTGTGTGTGTGTGAGAGATATTGAGTGTGAGTGTGAGAGATATTGAGTGTGAGTGTGTGAGAGATATTGAGTGTGTGTGTGAGAGATATTGAGTGTGTGTGTGTGAGAGATATTGAGTGAGTGAGTGTGTGTGAGATATTGAGTGTGAGTGTGTGAGAGATATTGAGTGTGTGTGTGTGAGAGATATTGAGTGTGTGTGAGATATTGAGTAGTGAGTGTGTGAGAGATATTGATTGAGTGTGTGTGAGATATTGAATGTGAGTGTGTGAGAGATATTGAGTGTGTGTGTGAGATATTGAGTGTGAGTGTGTGAGAGATATTGAGTGTGTGTGAGATGTTGACTGTGTGTGTGAGAGAGATATTGAGTGTGAGTGTGTGTGAGATGTTAACTGTGTGTGTGTGAGGGGAGCGGTAGTGTAAGTGGTCAGCGCACCACTCAATGAATCCGGCGACCAGAGTTTGATTCCCTGCTCACGACCAATGTCAATGACGGATATTTGATCCGGTCTTGGACTTCCCCTAGGTCGGCTCAGCCTTAAATGAGAACCTGCTGCGGTGTGGCGCTGTGTTGGCCGCCGGCACCCGCGTGTGCCGTGCTTTCTCACAACACTTGCCCAGTTAGTTTGTTGTAGCAGCTTCTGTTTAGCCGAATAGAAATGGCTAAACGGGCGCGGCACGGGATGGAGAAGGGATGGGCTGCCGATGTGGTACAGGAGGATGTGGGGCTGAGTACACTAGACGATGACTGGTGACAACCTCTGTGGAGGAGGTTCATGAAGAACGCTGATGGGGCAGTTGGAGGTAGTCGCCCTCCAACGGAGAGCGACGCTCACAACTACGAGCGGAGCACTGGGCGGCTAATAACGCAGCAAGTTGGCGCAGTGTGTAGCACAGCTGGTGTATCTGCCAGTCATCCCATTGAGTCAACCCATGGCACCTGGGTCTGCCCCCGTTACCTCCTTGCCAGCGGCTTCAATGTGTCACGAGTGGTGCTGCTCTTGGTGCTGGCCTCGTTACAAGATAACCGAGAGGGGGGGGGGGGTGGCAAGAACCGGTAACCGTTTTAAAAAGAGAAAAGCAATTCCAAAAGTCAGACAGCGGAATAATCGTTTCAACTGCGCTGTTCGTAATAAACGCGCAGCTACTTTGCCAATCCACTGTTGGATGAAGGCATCCCAACGCCGCCGTGTGAGGTCCTGGGGAGTTTCTTGGACATACTTTACCGCGCTGGTCAGTGCGGGTTGGTGAAGCGGCGGTGACGAGATGGGTGCCCAGGTTCTGGTAGAGACGTGGGGTCTATCACTCGGTAGAGATGTGGGGTACATCACTCGCCACTGATGTTCACCGCGGCAGCGAATCGAACTCCCGCAAACTCAGGCCCGCCCGTTTCGTAACAGAATCAGAACGTTCATTTATACTGGAGGAGTCCGATGAGCTATAAAGCGCTTTTTGTATTTTCTCACAGACGTCCAGTAGCTAACGGCAGCGTGCGCGCGTGATCCACTGCCTCGCACCCTGCATTGACCCCCTTCAAGAAATCGTCGCCTAACCCCCCCCCCCCCCCGCGGTGCCCAGGCCAAGCCCGCCACGGTGGCCGCGGCGGCTGCGGCCGCGGCGTCAATCACGGCCACGACCAAGATCTCCGACTCACGCCCCGTCTTCGTGAACCTGCGCCGCAAGTGGCTCGTGACGGCCGCCGTCGGGGTGGTGATGGTGCTCGTGCTGCTCATCGCCATCCCCGTGCTCGTCTACTCGAAGCACTCGGCCGCCGCGCACGAGATGCTGGGCACGTGCCGCACGGTGTGCGACCCCCACGCCGCCGCCGCCGCCGGCGCCGCCGCCCGGCCCAGGGACGCGGCGGAACGGGGCCACGCGCTCACGACCCCCACGCTGCAGATGTCGGGGCCGCGCGGGGAGCAGGGCCGCGTGGGCAAAACGGGGCCGCGCGGACCCCAGGGCGAGCCGGGTCCTCCCGGCCCTCGGGGTCCGCAGGGCGAGCGAGGGGTGGCGGGCCCTCCCGGCGCGCTGCTGTCTGGCTCGGGTGCCGTGAGCGTGCCCACCTACTACTCGGCGCCCAAGATCGCGTTCTACGCGGGGCTGCGCAACCCGCACGAGGGCTACGAGGTGCTGCGCTTCGACGACGTCGTCACCAACCTGGGCAACCACTACGACCCGGGCAGCGGCAAGTTCACGTGCTCCATCTCGGGGACGTACTTCTTCACCTACCACGTGCTCATGCGAGGAGGGGACGGCACCAGCATGTGGGCCGATCTGTGCAAGAACGGGCAGGTACGCGGGGAGGGAGGGACAAGAAGGGGGGGTGGGTGGGTAGGGGGGGGGGGGGTACGCGCGCCAGAAGCCGGCGGGACCAATCCGTTAAGGGAGCCTCGGTCGGCGTTGGCGTTGCGAGTGAGTGGTGGGCGCCGAGTCGAGCGGCAGCTTGGTTGGTTGGCACGCGAGAAAGACAACGCAGAATCAGAGTGTGGGTTCATACTGGAAGAATCCGATGAGCTACGAAGCTCTTTTTCACAAATGTCCAGTAGGGTCGGCTCAGAACGTGACAACAACAAACACTACACAAACACGATAGGAGTGCAAAGTGTATGAAAGGTAAACAATTAATTTCAACAATATACACAAATAAAGCGAAACTATTTCTATCTTACCTATTCGCTGGTTACGCAATGTCTAGCACTGTATCGAGACGGTCGCGAGGCCCAATGACCTCTTTATTGATGTCTCGAGGAATAGTAAGTGAAGGAATAAGACATTTCTTGAAACTCCCAACCCCAATCCCGAAGTTCAATCATTCCCAGACACCTCCGGTACAAACGACGCCCTGGGCGTGAGCGAACGAGCGAGCGAGCGAGGTTAATTCCAGAAGAGATGGTTCTCGTGAAAGGGGGTGGGAGACCTTACAATTAGATCCAGATAGACGTGAAGTCGTATAAGCGTCGCAGCGATTGACTATAACGATCTGATATTTCATGTTGTGAGCTACGTTCCACGGCATGCTGAGCGGAGGAGCCCGCTTGTTCCACCCGCGTGAAGGTTTACAACTCGTGGCATTGGCACTTTGCTGGAGTTCCTTGGGTCGGTCCAATATTCGTGGAGGAAATATCAACACCCTTCTCCCACGGGTTGTCCCGACACGGTTGAGAGCGGTCCTCTGTCGCTGGTGCCGAGAGAAGTTGTGGGTTTCAAGAGCACGTGAGCTGATGTTTTGGGACGCACTCCCGGATAGAGCCGACCCGTGATGCACTGCTAGCAGTGGAGGTCACCCGTCCATGGAGGCGAACGAGGGCGGTCGCCTGGGGCGCCAAGTTGCGTGGGGCGCCAAATATGGAGGGAAAAAAATGGAAATTTAATAAAAACGTAGATGCATTGTTTTAATCTCCCCCGTGCGCGTACAGATGGAATATTAATTATAATTAATTTCTCAACATTCCTGAGAATGTATTGGTTGGACAGACTGACAAACCGAATCATTTTGCCTCTGATTTAAAAAAAATACGCTTACAAAAACGTTAAACGGAAATTCGGGGCAACATGTTTCCCAGTTTACCCCCCCAAAAAAGCCTCTCTCAGCCTGGATCTGCCCTTGGGGTTTGGAGGTGAGGACGCCGTTTGCTCGGCTCGCCCTGGGGCGCCAGTCACTCGCAGCTGCTCGTCTCGGGCTCGCCGCCGACAGCACCCACTCACTCACTACCCCGTGCATGCCGAAGGGACATCTACTGACGGTACCGTGCGGTGAATTGAACATGAGCCCAGAGCACAATCGGCTCCTGAGTTGCAGGCTCGCGAGCCTTGTGGGCTGCGTGACGTCCCACGCTGCCCGCCTCGAGTCGGTCCGTGTGCGTCGGCGTGTGAGTGAGTGAGTGAGTACGCGGCTAACACCGGTGATGATTATCCGAAACGGTCCTGGGCCTCCCCTAGGTCTACTCAGCCTCAAATGAGTACTTGGTGCGGTGTGTGAACATCGCCACTAGAGAGATAACGGCGGTCGGGCGTGGTACTGGCCACCCACCCCCTCGTGTGCCGTGTCGGCCTTCAGAGATTCTCGCTCACAGCACTTGCCCCAACAGTCTGTTCAGGCTATACGGGTGATCTTTGTGTGAGTGTGGGGACAATACCAGTGGCGAATATCAATTGATGCTGGGTCTCCCATAGGTCGACTCAGCCTCAAATGAGTACCTAATGTGGTGTGTGAACATCGCCATTAGAGAGACAAAAGCGGTCGGGCGTGGTCCTGGCCAGCCTACCCCCTCGTGTGCCGTGTCGGCCTTCAGAGATTCTCGCGAACAGCACTTGCCCCGACAGTCTGTTCAAGGTTGTATGGGGTGGGTCTTTGTGTGGGCAGAGAAATGGAGCGGTGGCACAGTGGTTAGTTAACTCAATGTGCTACCGATCCCAGCTACCTGAATTCGATTCCTCACCACGGCCAGCAACCACAGGACGCGCGATCTCTGAGCCAGTCATGGGCCTATTCCTCGCTAGATTTCATCCTTGAAAAAAAAAAACAGAGTTCTAGGCTCGATATTTCAAATCACCAGCAATGGGGATACAAAGGTGTCTGGGCCTCGCTCCGACCACTCCGAACCTTCGTGCCGTCGTCAAGAGGCGCTCGCGCGTTGGAAGCAAGCAGCATGTGAAAAGCTATTCGGGGGGGCAAAGGGGACGTCAATATTTTGTATGCGCAGTAAGAATAATATGACAGAGACAAACAATTTATTTGGCTGGCTGACAGACGCAGCTTAGTTTCGGGATGCATCACCGGCAAACTTTGAAGGCACGAGGCGGCACGAACGCGTGCCGAGAGACTAAAGTCTTCCTCGAAGGCTCTGCCGGCTCTCTAATAGAGTTTCACTTTTAAGCTCCCCCGTGCAGAAGCATTAATGCGATGTTTTCAACGCGGCGGTGGAGGAGCGGTGGCGCACCGGTGAGCGCGCTACCACAAGAACCACCGCTGCAACCTGAGTCCTATTCCTGGATAATGTCAGCGGAGAGGGAGATTCGAAGCCGGCGCTGAGCAGGGGCGCTGCGGTATTGGTAAAAGAAGCCCCCAAGGCAAACACGACGTGGGGATGTCTTCATCCAGCAGTAGATTGGCACGGGGCTTTTCACGTAGGCGGAGTTTGGCTTCTCGATTTGGGGTGGGGGTGGCAGTGGTTCGCTTTGTCCCTCACATTAGGAATCGCGCGTGCATGTAGTTAATTAATTAACGTTTAATCTTTACTGTAAACTCCTGAAAATCAATAAATGTGTCAAGTTTGGGGGGAGGGGGCATTGCCCGCCCCTGTGCCCCCCCCCCCCGTGCCCAAACTCCGCCCATGGCTTTACACGACGACTATATTATTAATATATTAAAAATTATTATAATACATATCAATATGATACTATACATTACAAAGGGCGCAGATGAGGACATGTACAAAGCTCACACGCTACACGAAGACACTCATTCATTTGATCGATAACTCCTTAATATATCCATGATAAATGTTTTTTTTAGGGGGTGGGGGGTTTTGATCGCGTAAATATAAATGCGTCGTTGAACCTGCCCACTACCAATTGAATAAGATTTGTCGCGTAGACAAAACGTGTCAATTAGTACCAACTTGAACACGACCGGTCGTGTGTTGGAGTGTTAACAAGTCCGCAACGTTTACAACTCCAGTGCCGCGACGCTTCGCCGGTGATGACAGCCAGCCTCATCAGGTGATGAGCCACAATTGTGAAGAAGCCCTCCTGCCTCGGTCTCAAATAAAGGCAGTGAAAGGTGACGTCGTTACTTTGAGCCTATCAGGTGCGTGTTGAAAAAAATAACAACAACATTCATATATAGAGAGAGGATCGCAGAGCGTTGGTAATTGTTGGTAGGACCGGCTGCTGCTGCCTTCCCAAGAGGGGCAGCCCTCGACTCGCTGCTGCCAGAAACTGGCGCACGAGGGCAGACCCAGGCCGAGGTTTTTTGCTAAACTAGGAAACGTGTTGCCCATAGTTCCCGTTCAGTGTTTTTTTAAGCGTTATTTTTTTTTTAAACAGAGGCATCATTATTCGGTTTGTCCGCCCGTCCGTCCAACCAATAGATTCTCAGAAATGTTAAGAATTAATTATAATTCATATTCCCTTCGTATGCGCACGGGAATTGAAATAATTACATTTCAGTCTTGATTTGAAGCTTTCGTGACTGCAGGAAACCACACTCTTTGGTTCTTTCGGTAAAGTCACGTGGGTGGAAAAATAATAGATCACGACATTTCTATCGCAACACAAGCGATCGTATCACGATTGGCATTGTCTGATGACGATTGCTTGTGTTGCGATCGAAACGTCGTGATCTATTATTTTTCTAATTACATTTTAGTTATTTTCTGCGTATTTTTTTTATTCGTATATTTTTTTATTCGTCTTATTTTATTTGTTTTTTTTATTCGTATTTGTTTATTTGTATATTTCCCCTCGAAATTGGCGCCCCACTTAACTTGCCGCTCTCGGCGACTGCCCTCGTTCGCCTCTATGGACGGGAGGCCGCCCCTCGGTCTCAATCGTCTGCGGTGCCTCTGAGTCGTCCTCTCTCTCCCTCTCTCTCTCCCTCTCTCTCTCTTCCTCTCTGTCTCCTCTCGTCTCTCTGAGCGTGAGCCGATATCCTGCGTCGACCGCGCAGCGTTACAAGTTGACATGATTCAGACCATGTTTTTTGGGTCTTTCGGTAAAGTCACGTAGAACACAAAAAATTACAAAAAAACTACGACGTAAAGTCACGTAGTTCTACGTGACTTTACCGAAAGACCCAAAGTAGATGAATTCCTGCAGCCACGAAAGCTTTAATTCAAGATGATTCAGACCACTTCGTATGAATGTTACACCTGGCATTCTGTCCGGTGTGGTGCCTTGGCTTTGGAAAGGCCAGATCCCAATGGTCAACCAGCGGTGTACGTTACACTAATACTGCTGTTGGTTCAGTGACAGATGTCTATTATTCTGAGATTACATCGTTGTGTGTGAGTCGTGTTTGTTCGTTGTTTGATAATTGTTTTGGTTAGTTGTTTATAAGTTAGTTTAACACGTAGGCTTTCGCGACCAATGTTATTCATAATCAACGTTTTTGGGTTTAGATCGCGTTTATTTATAAATGTGTCGTAACCCTCCACCACCCGACACGCCAATCAGTAAAAAATGTGTCACGTGTGTGTGTACACGTATTCCACGTGTGTGTACACGTGGAATACGTGTGTATGTGCACGTGTTCCACGTGTGTGTGTGCACGTGTTTATAAGTTGTTTGTTAGTCGTGTTCGTGAGTTCTTTGCTAGTTGATTGTTGCGTGTGTTAGTTGTGTGTGTTAGTTGGGTGTGTTAGTTGTTTGTCAGTTGTGTGTTAGTTGTGTGTTTTAGATGTTTGGTAGTTGTGTTAGTTGGTTTGCAATATCCCTTAAGGACCCTGTACTCGTCCTCTGTTTATGTTTTTGGTCTGTGTTTTATTTCTGTACTCACGGCCCCCACGGATCTCCCTTGCAATAGCCGTGCAACCAATACAATCAAACTCAAGGAATTAGCACAGCACCATCCATCATCAAACAAAAATCGCGCTCCATAAAAATCCCAGTTCGTGTTGTGAGCGTGGTTGCACAAACAACAACAACAACAATGTAGCCCGCGTTAAACGAAAGCCCATTCAAATAAAGTTTGAGATCTCAGCGTGTGTGTGTACACGTATTCCACGTGTGTGTACACGTGGAATACGTGTGTGTGTGCACGTGTTCCACGTGTGTGTGTGCACGTGTTCCACGTGTGTGTGTGTACACGTGTTCCACGTGTGTGTGTGTACACGTGTTCCACGTGTGTGTACACGTGGAATACATGTGTGTGTGCACGTGTTCCACGTGTGTGTGTGTGTGCACGTGTTCCACATGTGTGTGTGTACACGTGTTCCACGTGTGTGTGTACACGTGTTCCACGTGTGTATGTACACGTGTTCCACGTGTGTGTGTACACGTGTTCCACGTGTGTGTGTACACGTGTTCCACGTGTGTATACAGTGGTCCACGTGTGTGTGTGTACACGTGTTCCACGTGTGTGTGCACGTGTTCCACGTGTGTGTTTACACGTATTCCACGTGTGTGTGCACGTGTTCCACGTGTGTGTGTACACGTGTTAAACGTGTGCATGTGCGCGCGCTCTACGTGACGTTCATTGCTTATCGCGTCGCATGTGACGTGTTTAACAATCATCGGGCGAGTGCAGCGTGTAACGGAGTAATTTTTATTTATTTAATCGGTGAACACGGCAAGACGTCGCGTTGTGGTGGATGGCGAGGACTGCAGTTTGGGAGGCGCTGCGGTCGATCCGATAGAGGCGGAAGAGAAGGGAGTCCGCATTTTTGCTGTGCCGCCGTCTCCTGGCAAGTCAGGGTATTGCCTCCTCCTCCTCAACGCCCGCGGGAAGGAAGATTGACGACCTTCCACGTGGTGATCCACCAACCCTCGCTGCCGGCACAGTGCTGCATTCCAGCCACGGCCCTCCCTCGTGTCGTCTTGATCGAACACCAGAGAGAGACACTGGCATGGAGGTCCCATGATGTAGCTGCTCACCCCAAGCTCTCAATGACCTGATAGTGGCATTGTCTTTGTGCTGTTCGCCTTTTGGCGTCGTCCTCTGGTCTGACACTGTTAGTGAGACGAGGCTCTAAAGAAAGCTGTCTCGGGTGTGGACCAATCAGTTTCAAAGACGATGCATCATCATATACTGCCGGAGCATGTTTTTTTGTTCGCATGTTCACCACGAGTAAGTGTGGTGAATGCAGACATGATTCCTTGCGAAATGTTTCTGTTTGGTGTTTTAACATCTTAACATCCTCCTGTTTGATTGCCAGCAAGGGTTAAAACCTATTCTTATTTTGTTGATACTGGCCAGGGAGGTCCCATGATGAACCAGAGAGAAACTACGATGTGAGTACAGAGACTGACACACCGACAGGCTGATTTAGACACGGATTTAGACACGGAGAGGCATACGCACAGACTGACAGAAACGCCGAGAGACAGACAAAGACTGACAGAGACGCAACAACAACAACCGTTGTTCGTCGCCACTAAGTGGTGGTGACGTCACCACGGCGCGTGTGCCAGGCCAGGTGCACCTCGAGGCCACGTGAAGTGTCGAAGGCTCGGTGACAGGAGGTCACGGGACAGGCTCTGTAGGTGCCATATAGGTTGACTGGCAGATATAGACATGGACAGATACACGAGCAGATAGACACAAGATACAGATCCCCTATAGATTTCACATATTCTTGGGGCAAGTGATGTTAGTGAGCACCTATGAAGGCCAGCAAGGCACACCAGGGGGGTTGGACAGCACCACACCCGATCGCCTTTGTCTCCCCAGTGACGATGTTTACAATTTGCACCGGGTACTCATTTGAGGCTGAGTCGACTTAGGGGAGGCCCACTCGCGGTTCATATAATCGTCACTGGTGAGCGGTGAATCGAACTCGGGTCGTCGGAGTTCGTAGTGCAGCGCGCTAACCACTGAGCCACCGTTCCCCAGCACCACACACACACACACACTGACTAAGAGGCATGCAGATACACAGACAAGATACCTCTAGAGATGCACACACACAGACTGATAGAGACATACATACAAAGGACTGACAGACATAGAGACACACGCAGATGAACATACGCAGGCTGACAGGCACTGCGGATCGATGGCACCGTGTGTGTGCGCGCGCACGTTGTGTGTTTTGTGGAATATTGTGCTCCATTGAGCGGCTGTACGCGTGATCTTTGATGGAGAGGTCAAAAAGTTAAGGGCGTCTCTGTGGTGCAATTGATCTGCGCCCACATAAGTTACAGATCGATTCCACTACACCGCACAACCCTGTGTGTGTGTCTCTCCGCGTCTGCCCCATCTCTCTCTGCCTCTCTGAAGAATTTGCTGTCGCATTAAAGTGATTCTATTTTTTTTCATGTCCAACTCGAAGAACAAAACACAGATCCCACTTGTAGTTATTTTTGTTTGTTTTTAAACAGACTTGTTGGGATAAGTGTTGTTTGCGAGCATCTATTAAGGCCGGCACGGCACGCGAGGGAATGATTGGGCAGTACCTCGCCTTGCTGCCTTTGTCTCCCCAGCGCTGGCGTTATCACACCGCACCAGGTACTACTCATTTAAGGGCTGAGTCAACCTAGGGAAGGGCCAGGACCGGTTCAGACATTCGTCGCTGAGTCACATGCACAGTCACATAATACGCGCACACAACAACAAACAACAACGAAGTACTTCTGTATATCCAATACAAGCTGTTGAGGCACGTGTGGTTAGCGAGCACCTATGAGCATTGCGTACTGCACTGTGAACGCTACTGTTCGGTTAGCGAGCACTGATGTTCGGTTAGCGAGCACCTATGAGCATTGCGTACTTCACTGTGAGCGCTACTCGGCAGGCAGCTGTGTTCGGTTAGCGAGCACTGATGTTCGGTTAGCGAGCACCTATTGGCATTGCGTACTGCACTGTGAACGCTACTGTTCGGTTAGCGAGCACTGATGTTCGGTTAGCGAGCACATATGAGCATTGTGTACTTCACTGTGAGCGCTACTCGGCAGGCAGCTGTGTTTGTGCGGTGCATCGCGCGGTGGGTGACCGCGCGGGTCCCTACGACGCGATTTCGCTCGGTGCGGCGCTTTGTGTTTTTTTGTTGGGAACGCATCTCATGCTGCACGAACCGCCCGACAGAGCCCCATTGGCAAGGTGCTGCCACGTAAACAAACCGTGCCGGTGCGTTGGGGGAGGAGAAGCCCCCACCGCGTTCACTATGTTAAGTGCGAGACCGTTCCGCTGGTCATTACAGCAACAACAGCAGCAACAACAGCAACAACAACAGCAACAACAGCCAGCTTCATCAGGCTATGAGCTAGGAATTGTGAACCACATCGTCCACCGCTCTCGCCCCCCCCCCGCAGGTGCGTGCGAGCTCCATCGCGCAGGACGCCGACCAGAACTACGACTACGCCAGCAACTCGGTGATCCTGCACCTGGACGCGGGCGACGAGGTCTACGTGAAGCTGGACGGCGGCAAGGCGCACGGGGGCAACACCAACAAGTACTCAACCTTCGCTGGCTTCATCGTCTACGCCGACTGACCGCGGAGCGGGCGGGCGAGCGGGCGGCTACTCCGGCGAATGTGCGCTCGTGTGTGTGTGGTGATGATGATGATGTGTGTGGTGGTGATGATGTGTGGTGATGATGATTTGTGTGGTGGTGGTGGTGATGTGTGTGTGTGTGAAAGAGCGCGAGATCGTGTGTGTGTGGTGGTGATTATGATGATGTGTGTGTGGTGGTGATGATGATGTGTGTGGTGGTGGTGATGTGTGTGTGTGAAAGAGCGCGAGATCGTGTGTGTGTCGTCGTGATGATGATTATGTGTGTGGTGATGATGATGTGTGTGGTGGTGGTGATGTGTGCGTGTGTGTGTGAGAGAGCGCGAGATCGTGTGTGTGTGGTGGTGATGTGTGTGTGTGGGGTGATGGGGGAGCAGTCGTGTAGTGATCAGCGCACTCTCGCTACGAAACCCAGCGAACCGAGTTCGATTCCCGCTCACGGCCACTAACACCGGCGACGATTATGTGAACCGGTTCTGGGCCTCCCCTAGGTTGACTCAGCCTCAAACGAGTACGTGGTTCGGTGTGTAAAACATCGCCACTGGGGAGACAAATGCGGCCGGGAGTGTTGCTGGCCAACCACCCCCTCGTGTGCGGTGCCGGCCTTCATAGGTGCTCGCTAGCAGCACTTGCCCCTACAGTCTGTTAAGGCTATACGGGGGATCTTTGTCTATGTGGTGGTGATGATGAGGATATGTGTGGATGTGTGTTTGGGGGGGGGCATAGGAGACCGGTAGTGTAGTGGTGAGCGCACTCACACTACGAAATCCGGCGACCCGAGTTTGAATCCCGCTCACGGCCGAACCCGGTATCGATTATCTGAAACGGTCCTGGCTCTCCCCCAGGTCGACTGGGCCTCAAATGAGTGCCTGATGTGTAAATATCGTCGCTCGGGAGACAAAGGCGGCCGTGGGTGGGTCTGGCTACAGCACCCCCTCTTGGGCCGTGCCGGATTTTCATCGGTCGTGCTCGCTAACAGCACTTGCCCCAAAAGTATGTAAAGGCTATACGGGTGAACTTTGTCTTGGTACCTGGCACATGTGCCGTGGCAAAAGGCGGTTGTTCGCTGATATCGTGTCTCTTTAGATGTGACAGAATGTGAATATGTTGTGAGTGCGTGAGGCGGTGAGTGTGTGTGAGTGTGTGTGAGTCAGTGTGTGTGAGTGTGTGTGTGAGTATGTGTGTGTGTACGTGTGTGTGAGTGAGTGAGTGTGTGAGTGTGAGTAAGTGTGTGTGAGTGTGAGTGAGTGTGTGAGTGAGTGTGTGAGTGAGTGTGAGCAAGTGTGTGTGAGTGTGAGTGAGTGTGTGAGTGAGTGTTAGTGAGTGTGTGTGAGTGAGTGAGTGTGTGAGTGTGAGTAAGTGTGTGTGAATGTGAGTGAGTGTGTGTGTGAGTGTGAGTAAGTGTGTGTGAGTGAGTGTGTGTGTGAGTGTGAGTAAGTGTGTGTGAGTGTGAGTGAGTGTGTGAGTGAGTGTGAGTAAGTGTGTGTGAGTGTGAGTGAGTGTGTGAGTGAGTGTTAGTGAGTGTGTGTGAGTGAGTGTGAGTGTGTCTCGTGGGGAGCGGGAGTGTAGCGGTCAGCGCGCTGCGCTACGAACCCCGGCGACCCGAGTTCGCTTTCCGCTCACGTCCAACACCGGTGACGATTATCTGACCGGGTCCTGGGCCTTGCCTAGGTCGACTCAGCCTCAAATGAATACCTGGTGAGGAGTGTGTAAACATCGCCACTGGGGAGACAAAGGCGGCCGGGCGTGGTGCTGGCCACCCACCCCCTCGTGTGCCGGACGTGTGTGTGTGGACGTGTGTGGGTGCGGACGTGTGTGTCGGTTGCGTAACGCTGTGTGGAAGCTACCTGGTCTGTCGCTCCGCACGAAGCTTCAGGTCTTCTCGGCCACGGTCATTCCCTCCCTTCTCTACGCTTGCGAGACGTGGACCCCCCTGGTGGAGCATCTTCGCCGGTTGGAAACATTTAGGCTGGCCTGCCTACGATCCATCCTGGGTTTAACCAGGCTGGATTGTGTGAGGAGCTCACAAATCCTTGAAAGATCTGGGCAAAGTCCCATCAGTGAGCTCCTCCGGCAGGCAAGGCTGCGTTGGCTGGGTCATGTAGCCCGCATGCCCAGCCACCGCATGCCTAAACAGCTTTTGTTCGGCCGGATCGAGGGGGCTAGACGGGCGCGGCACGGGCTGGAGAAGAGATGGAGTGATGTGGTACAGGAGGACGTGGAGCTGAGTGGACTTGCCGATGACTGGTACCAGCGGTGTCAAGATCGGCCTCAGTGGAGGAGGCTCGTGAAGGACGCTACTGGGCAGTTGGAGGCAGTCGCCCTCCAACAACAACGGAGGGCGGAGGAGCGACGCTCACAACAACGAGCGGAGCGCCGGGTGGAATAAAGCACAGCAAGTTGGCACAGTAGGGGGCACAGGTGGTGCATCAGCCAGTCATCTCGGTCATCTCGGTCAGTCGACCAGTGGCACCTGGGTCTGCCCCGTGACCTCCTGCCAGCGGGCTTTCGACACTTCACGTGGCCTCAAGGTGCACTTGGCCTGGCACAAGCATCGTGGTGACGTCACCGCCACTTAGTGGCGAATGGCGGTTGTTGTTGTTGTGTACGTGTGTATATGTGTGTGTGTCAGTGTGTGTGAGTGTGAATGCGGTGGGAGGGAGCCAGGTGCCGTTTGCTGCTGGGGGGTGAAGATGAGAGAGGGGAGCGAGAGAGAGTGCAGGTGAGAGGGAGAGAGGGGTGGGGGGCAGGTGTTGAGTTGGGGGGGGTGCGAGTGGGGGAGAAGGTAGGTGGTGAGGCTCGTGTTGCGGTAAGAGAAGAGAGGGAGCTGTCGTGTAGCGGTTGACGCGCTCCGCTACGAACCCGACGACCCGAGTTCTAATCCCGCTCGCGGACCAACACGAGCGACGATTATTTGAACCGGTCCAGGGCCTTCTCCCCTAGGTCGTCTCGGCCTCAAATGAGTACCTGGTGTGGTTTGCTAAAATCGCCACTGGGGAGACAAAGACGACCACCGACCCCATCGGGGCTTATCGCGAACAGAACTTGCCCCATCAGCGAGACGAGTTCGTGGAGGTGAAATCAGTCAGCGGTGAAGGTCTCGTAGCTATGGAGTGTGCAGGCGGTGCAACTGCAACGGGTCGGGGGGGGGGGTGAGGGGGCCGGGCCCCCACCGACCTGGCCCATCAACTACAAATGAAATCGCCCCCCCCCCCATATCACTCATTGCACCAGGGTCCATGACAATCACACCGCGTCGCTTTCAGTAACAGCAACAACCTCATATACAGCGACCTCCTGCCAGCCGAGAGCCTTTCACGTGATAGCCTCAATGTGCACCTAGCCTGGCACAAGAGCCGTGGTGACGTGACCGTTACTTCTTGATGAATGACTTAATGACGAATATTGTTGCTGAAGGTGGAGGGGGGGGGGGCGGGCAGTAGGTTGTGGTGTTTTTAGGGTGACCTGAGAAAATGAAATGTGGGTCCGTGTGACAGAGAGCCGGGGATAGGTGGCGCAGCGGGTAGCGCGTTGCGTTACCAGAGTTCGATTCCCGCTCACGGCCAATAACAATGGGGAGAATCTGAACCTGTCCAGGGCCTTCCCTAGGTCGACTCAGCCTACAATAAGTGCAGTACAGTACCTGGTTCGTGGGCTACGCACATCATCGAGCTTCGTGTGTGCTCACTAACAGCACTTGCCCCAGCAGCCTGTCAAGGCTATACGGGGAGGGGGGGATCTTTGTCTTTGTGTGTGGGCTTGGATGGAGGGATTGTGGAGGAGGTGGTGGTGGGTGATGTTGCGGGTGAGTTAGGGGATGACGAGCGGGTGATTGTTGTGATGGAGGGACGCTGCGTGGTGTGATTCCTTCATCTGGACGGGTTGTTTTTTTTCTCGTATGTTTGTATGTTGGACTTCTTTCGCACCGTACGTATCTAACCGCTGCCGGTGTTCACGCTCTCGCATTCCGCGCGCTCTGACCGCGATGATCGCCGCGCCGTGTGTGGCGATCGCCTTCATCCACAGCCGTGAGTCCACTCCAGCCCTCCCCGCCCCCACGACCATATCTCTTCACGTTCACCAATCATTACCCCAAGTTCAAATACAAAAAGGGTGTTTTTTACAACCCGCACGCCGCTTGATGATTACGATAGGCGACGTTTCGGGCAATGCCCCTTTCTCTATAGCACTTCATAACACCCTTCTTCGTGTGATATAAGGCAGTCGCACGTGTCCAGTTCTTTGTTGTTGCTGATGGGGGCGGTTTTTGTTGTTGCGCGGCAGCAAATAGTTTGGCGATTGGGAAACTCGTTCCACGTGGCTGCATTGAGGGCCCATTGATTTCCATCAGCCTACACCACGTGGGGCACACACAGACGACAAACCCCCAACCCCCCCCCCCCGCCGCTCTCCCCCGTATAACCTTAACAGACTGCGGGAGCAAGTGCCGTTAGTGGGCACCTATGAAGGCCGGCACGGCACACGAGGGGTGGGTTATCAGCACCACGCCCGGCCACCTTTGTCTCCCCAGTGCTGATGTTTACACACCGCACCAGTCACTTACTCATTCAAGGCTGAGTAGACCTAGGCTTGGGGAGGCCCAGGACCTGTTCAATGAATCGCCACTCGGGTCCACGTGGTTCGGATTTCCGTGCGCTAACCATTACGCTGCCGCTCTCCACAAGACCACACGAATACAATTACCCCCCCACCCGCCCCCCCGTATAGACTTCACAGACTACAAGGGCAAGTGTCGTTAGCGAGCAGCACCTATGAAGGCCGGAACGGCACACGAGGGGGTGGGTGGCCGGCACACGAGGGGGTGGGTGGCCAGCAACCACGCCCGTCCGCCTTTGTCTCCTTTCCGCGGCGATGTTTACACACCGCACCAAGGCACTCATTTGAGGCTGAGTCGACCTCCACGAGATCACACGCGCACCACACGCAGACGCGCACACGCGATATCGATGTTCTAATGAGCGGGGCTATTGGTTGGCCTCGAAAAGACGAACCACGCGCGTGGTCGGGTCTCGAGGCCCCGGAGTGCGGGGGAGACCCCCTCGCCGACGCCAACGGCGACCGCTGCACCTCCTCGAGGTGCTCATTGGAAGTGCGCCGAAGACGACTCCAAGTGCACATTGCCATTCTACGCAGCTTATAACTCGACAAGTCCCAACATCGATGTTTTCGAGTATTATTTTGGGGGGGGGGAGGAGGGGGGTTTATTTGCGTTCACCAAACGGGGGAGGGGGTGGTGGGGTGTGGGGCAGGATAAGAATGTAGTCGCGCATTGCTTTCGTGAATCGTCGTGAACATTTAAAACTTAACATTCACTCATCGCGGTCACCACCGTCGCCGTGAGTCAACTCACACGTGGAGTGTGACGCTAAAGGCCAATTATGTGGCTGCACCGCGCTCCCCCCGCTGACGGGGTCCCAGCGTGTGCACTCGTCTCGTGGCCCGTCAACCCCTCCACCCACCCACCCACCCACCCCTCCACCCACCCACCCACCCACCCACTCGCGATACCGATGAACTGGGGCGATTCGATCGAACGATTAAAGCAAATATCGATTATTTATTGTTACTCTTGGAACGTGTCTTGTTTTATCGCGACCGCCTCGCTTGGGCCGCCGTCGCCTCGTGCACATCTCTCCGCCTCGCCGTTGTCACGCGCGAGGCCTGCGGGGTCGGAGGCCAGCGGGGTCGGAGGTCAGCGGGGTCGGAGGCCAGCGGGGTCGGAGGTCAGCGGGGTCGGAGGTCAGCGGGGTCGGAGGCCAGCGGAGTCGGAGGATCAGCGGGGTCGGAGGTCAGCGGCTCCCGAGCAGCCGTGTGCGGTGGCTCCTGAAGGAACTGTTTGTTTTACAGAATTCGAAAACCCATGGTTGTTGTGGTTGTTGTTGTTGTGGTTGTTGTTGTGGTTATCGTTTGCCGACCCCTGCGCTAATTTTCTCACAGATGCCCCAATCTCCGGATTCTAAGACGCTCCGGAAAGCAAAGGCGCGACCACCAAACCTTGAGGACGATGTCAACTTTTACTGTCAAGTTCAACCAATCTGGTGTCTCTCACAAACACACTCACACCGCACGAGAACGAGGAAACTACATCTGACAGAGAGGTTTTCCTTGCCGATAATATCTAACATATTTCTTTGAAATATTTGGGAGGAAAGTGCGCGACCAATCTCGAGAGAATACGGTAATGTACATGATGATCCAGATGTCTTGTGACTCCCCCCCCCCCTCAATTAATCGACCCCTAATTTGTATTTTCCTTTGCATATCCATTTGTTTTAAATAAACTTACTTTACAAATATAGCGTTTACAACAAGACATCTGGACCATCCTGTACACAGTTACACGTCCGCCGTAATTCACGTGTCTCGACTGTGAAAAGTGATTTTTAATCGATGACGACTCCAGACGTTGGAGGGGGCTCCGGTGATGATACCCCAGCAAGGTGGTGCGAGATCAACTCGCTCCCATCAAACGTCGGCGAATATTATTCACGAGCGGGAGGTGAGCGACTTGACTCACTCCGCGTCCGGAGCGCACGTTCCCGTGGTGCCGTCGCACGAAGCCTCCTCGTCTCGCGCAATTCGGACGCAGATCCGGGATGTTGCATACTTTGCCTGTCACGACTAATGCCGTGCACAAACAACAACAACAACAAGA